CCAAGATGATCCTCTCCCCTCCGGGAGATGTTACAGAGAAATATAAAGGAAGACTCTACAGAGAGAAGGATCCCAACAGGAACAGGACAGAATCTATCACAATTACAGGACTGGAACCAACTGATGGGCCTACGTTTTGCTGCCTACAGAACAATAGTAAACATAAATCTACATGGTGGAATACATATGGGACTCTTCTGCAATTTTCAGGTAAATGTTTTTTGATTTATTTCTAACAGCCAACACTTTGCTCATTTTTCAGGAACTGTAATTTAACCACTTGCCTTTTGATTACCCCCTTAATGACCGGGCCATTTTTTGCTATTCAGCACTGCGCTATTTCAACTGGTATTCATGCAATGTTGTACCCAAATGACATTTTACACAAATAAAACTTAATTTTGGTGGTATTTGATCACCAATAGGTTTTTTATTTTTTAGATATAAACGAAAAAAGACCAAAAATTAAAAAAAAAGATATTTGTTTACTTTTGGTTATAAAAAATATAGAGTAAACTCAAAGTTAGTCATACATTTAGACCAAAATGTACTCTGCATTTAATATATGTATGTCTTTGGTAAAAAAAAAAAGCCCAATACGTGTATATTAATCGTTTGTGTGAAAGTTATAGCATTTACAAACTATGGTATATATATTGGAGTTTACGCAGCTTTTACTTTCTGACTGCTTATCACCTTTCTTGAGGTGCTAAAATGCCAGGGCAGTACAAATGGAAGGTAGACACCCCAAAGAATTTGATAATTTTGTCACAGGGTTTTGAAAAAGAAAAAGTCTTGGGGTGTCTACTTTCCAAAAAGGGATCATTGTGGGGGGGGGGGGGGGTTGCTTCTACTATTCTGACATTTCAGAACATTAAAGCTTCTGTCATACATCACCCACTCTTCTAACCACTTGAAGATCAAGCCTTTTTGTTTACTTGAAAAAAGGTTTTCTGCTAGAAAAATTTTAACCCCCAAACGTTATATATTTTTTTAAAGCAGAGGCACTAGAGAATAAAACAGTGGGTGTTGAAATTTTTTATGTCACATAGTATTTGCACAGCGATCTTTCAAACGCAAATTGTTTGGAAAAAAATACACTTTTTAGAATTTTAATGCACAAAAAGCACAATATATTGCTAATTGATAAGATATACAAGATGATGTTATGCCAAGTAAATGGATACCAAACAGGGCATGCTTTAAAATTTTGCATGCCAGTGCAACGGAGACAAATTGTGTAAATTTTTAATATCCATAGGCAGGGGCGGACTGACAACTCATGGGGCCCCCGGGCAATAGGGGATCATGGGGCCCCTGTATCCTTGCCCGAACTCAAAAAAGCCTATGAAAAAGGTACCAGGGGCATCTCACAGGGCCCCCTACTGACCCCAGGCCCTCGGGCAGTGCCTGAGTTTCCAAATGGTCAGTCCGCCCCTGGTTCCAGTACATTGCTGGTCCATGTTGGGCATATATGTAACAGCAGAGAACACAGACATATGATGAAACAGGTCTGTGGACTAATATGACCGCAATTCATTCTTTTTTGTAATGCCCATGTTGAGTGTTAGGCCAAAACAAATTCAGAAACCGTGATAGGCTTCCATGCGAATTGTCTAGCAAGAGCTGAGTTTGGGTAGTCGACCATGTATTGTTGTGCGTAGAAATTTCTTTGGCCCACAAGCAATTGGTACAATATTCCATGATAAACAGAAGAGGGGCTAAACGCTAGTGCTGGCAGCGAATGGGGCTGATCCTGCTAACACTGCATTTTTGGGGACACTATACAAAGCAGGCACTAGTATATTTCTGTTTGTCAATATATTGATCAATATATTGATCCGTACAAACACTGTACTAGTAATGGGGGTGATAAGCGACCTATAGCGTGAGTCCGATAGTGTGCGGGCAATCTAACGCTAGCTGACCCTGGCTGGGTGGGGTGCTAACTAACCCTGATGTCGCTAGTGGCAGGAATACAGTGATCACTGAAAAATTCTATATACTGACACTACTAATGGCACTGGCTGGGTGATGGGGCGATCAAAGGGTTAATAGGGATGATCAAAGGGTTAAATGTGCTAATCTAACATGTGTAAAATGTAGCGGTTCTGCTCAGTGCCATGTTCCATCTTCTCTCCCTGGAAGGCATAGGGGCTAGCGGGGGGGGGGGGGGGGGGGGGTGGGGCGCACATGCTCACGCACACCCAGAAATAGAAAACAACATAAGATTACGTTGCTTTGTCCAGAGCTGCCACTCTACTGCACATTCTTGGTGGGTGGGTGGGTGGCAAGTCGTTAAAAATAAAAATTCATAAAAAATTTCTCTCAATAATTTTTTGTAAACATATTTATTTTTATTTTAATAATTCTTTTTTTTTAAAATAAAAAAAAAATACTTTCAGCAGAGTAGTGCAATGTTACCATAGTAACATTGATACTCTAGGAGGGTTGTATCTGGTCTCCCCGGACCCTGCATTCAACTATATCTGGTCTTCCAGCCACTGACACCAATGATGGGCACTATTCCTCCCACTGACACCATTGATGGGTCACTATTCCTCCCACTGACACCAATGATGGGGCACTATTCCTCCCACTGACACCAATGAAGGGACACTATTCCTCCCACTGATACCAATGATGGGGCACTATTCCTCCCACTGACACAATGATGGGGCACTATTCCTTCCCACTTATACCAATGATGGGGCACTATTCACTCCCACCGATGCCCAATGATGGGGCACTATTCCTCCCACTGACACACCAATAATGGGGCACTATTCCGTCCCACTGACACCAATGACAGGGCACTATTTCCTCCCCACTGACACCAATGATGGGGCACTATTCCGTCCCACAGACAACCAATGATGTGGCCTTCTAATCCCATCCCACTGATGCAATGATGGGGCACTATTCCTCCCACTGACACCCAATAATGGGGCACTATTCGTCCCACTGACGACCAATGACAGGGCACTATTCCTCCACTGACACCAATGATGGGGCACTATTCCTCCACTGACACCAATGACTGTGGCGCTCTATCCCTCTCCACTGATCACCAATGATGGGGCACTATTCCTCCCCACCAATACCAATGATGGGGCACTATTTCCTCCCACTGACACCAAATAATGGGGCACAATTCCTCCCACTGACACCAATGATGTGGCTCTATCCCTTCCACTGATACCAATGATTGGGGCACTATCCCTCCCACTGATACCAATGATGGGGGCACTATTCCTCCCCCTGACACCAAAAATGGGGCACTATTCGTCCCACTGACACCAATGATGGGGCACTATTCCTCCCACTGACACCAATGATGGGGCACTATTCCTCCCACTGCCACCAGTCAATGGGGCATTTTTTTACTGCACTGACACAAGAGGAGAAGAGGAGTGTTTGCTCATTTGTGTGTGTGTGCATTTCACTTTGAGCTATTGAGCTCTATAAACAATATGCTACCTATTGATACCCCTCTAACAGATTTTCTTTTGTTCAGATACAGAATACATCACCCCGAGCTGGATGAACTGATGGCTGTTTCAGGAGAAGAGGTCATCATCCCGTGTTAATTACTCCAAGGACAAACCACGGAGATTACATTTGTCAGATGGTATATTGCAGACGGAGAACCTGACAAAAGTGGTCATAGATCCGTACTCCAAACACATGGAGAACATCAAGGGGGCCGGCACTCTCTGTTCAATTCACCCAAGGCATCTCGCTGCGTATTCATGAATCAATCTAAATGATCATCAAAGTTATTTCTGCATTGTCCTCTATCGCACATTTTAATCGCTGCGAAGCAAACAGTTTACAAGTTCTGATCATTGCAGGTAAACCATAGCACACCCGTACTAACACAGAGAAACATAGAGGACGCCATTGCTGACCGCTCTGCCAAATCCAGCAGCCTCACTGTTATGCCGAGCCGTTGGCGTCAGATTTTCTGACTCACTAAACCAGAAGAGATACGCCGGATGAGATAAGTCCAGAGAAAAGTCAGACGTTTTTTCCCCTAACCCTGTAGAGTAACTGCAGCCATAGTATCCGATAGCAAATTCTGTTTGTCAGAATGCAATGTCCCAGAGGAAAGGATGGGAATTCTTTACAACGTGGGATAAGGTGTCTTGTAACAGAGAGGCTTGGGCTGCCCCCCTTCTTGTACAGCCCCCACCAAATTCTGATAGGCATAGACCTGTTTCGTAAAAAGCACATGCAGCTTACAGGCATCCTTACAAGCCATGTTAATCTTAAAAGTAGTTACTAAACCCCCTGACCACTGCATATCACTCAGATCTGGTCTCCCCGGACCCTGCATTCACTATATCCGGATCTCCCCGGACCCTGCATTCACTATATCCAGTCTCCGCCGGACCCTTCGCATTCCACGATCATCCAGTCTCCCCGAGCACCCTGCCTCGGACCCTGGCATTACACTATATCCGCTCTCCCCGGGACCACTGCATTCACTATATCCGGTCTCCCCCGGACCCTGCATTCACTATATCCGGTCACTCCCGGACCCTGCCATTCACTATATCCGGTCTCCCCGGACCCTGCATTCACTATATCCGGTCTCCCCCGGACCCTGTCTCATACACTATATCGCCTCTCCCGGACCCTGCATTCACTATATACGGTCTCCCCAGACCCTGCATTCATTATATCCGGTCTCCCCCGGACCCTGCATTCACTATAATCTGGTCTCCCCAGACCCTGCATTCACTATAAATCCGCTCTCCCCCTCTCTCCGACTCTGCATTCACTATATCCTGGTCTCCCCCGGACCCTGCATTCACTATATCTGCTCTCCCCGGACCCTGCATTCACTATATCTGGCACCCGACTCCCTAGACCCTGCATTCACTATATCCGCTCTCCCCCGGACCCTGCATTCACTATAATCTGCTCTCCCTAGACCTGATTCACTCCGCTCCTCCCCGACCCTGCATTCACTATATCTGGTCTCCCAGATACCCTGCATTCACTATATCCGGGGCTCCCAGGACCCTGCATTCACTATATCCGGTCTCCCCAGACCCTGCATGTCACTATATCCGCTCTCCCGGACCCTGCATTCACTAATATCCGCTCTCCCCGGACCCTGCATTCACTATATCCATGTCTCCCCAGACCCTGCATTCACTATATTTGGTCTCCCCGGACACCTGCATTCACTATATCTGTCTCCCCAGACCCTGCATTCACTATATCCGCTCTCCCCAGACCCTTCTATTCACCCATAATATCGGTTCTCCTCGGAACACCTGCATTCACTATATCCGGTCTCCCTGCACCCTTGCATTCACTATATCTGGTCTCCCCGGACCCGGCATCCACTATATCTGCTCTCCCCCCAGGACCACTGCATTCACTATATCTGCTCTCCCCAGACCCTGCATTGAGGCCTTAAAAAGTCAGGACAGTAACAGAATATCCCCCAAATGAGCCTTATTTGGAAAGTAGAGAGTCAAGGTATTTAGTAAGAGGCATTGTGAGTTTTTTTTTTAAAGTTGTAATTTTTTGTCACAAAATTTTTGAAAAATTAAGAAGTTAAAAAAAAATATATTTTTGCATACCAGCGTCATCATATATTTGGTGTGGCGGGGTGATCAAGGACACTGATTGGTGACAGTACAGAAAACAAATGTAATTGTGTAGCACCACTCTAGTGTGCTACTAGAATAGTGTAAGGCAAACCTATGACCTTCAGGCCATTTTTTACAATGCGCCGCTGCGATATTTTAATTGAAATATTGCAGAGGGTTCATGCACAATCCTTGGCACCAATATGCGTGCTCTATTATGGCATTTTTTCCTCCACAAATAGAGCTTCCTTTCGGTGGTATTTCGATTGTGGCTGCGGTTTTTATTTTTTGCGCTATAAACAAAAAAAAGACAGGCAATTGTGAAAAAGAAAACAATATTTTTTTACTTTTTGCTATAAAACATATCTTAGTAAAAACAAAAAATTTAAACATCTAATATTTCGCCATAAATTTACACCAAGAAATGTATTCTGCTTCCGTGTCTCTTTGTCTAAAAAAAAAAAAAATCCTAAGAAGAAGTATAAATTATTTGGTTTACTGTTGAGCGTCCTTTAAGCGTTTACAAATGGCGGTATTCAGATACTGGGATTTTTTTTACTAAGTAATCGGGGGCGCCATCACGAAGACTTATAGTAGGAGCGTGCGGTGCGGCAATTCTGACACATGGAGGGGAAATGACTGTCACTGATCATCCCCAGTGGCACTAATACAAAAAAAAAATGCACTGACAACTGTTTCTAATGGCACTGGGCAGAAAGGGGTTAAACATCTGGGGTGATAAAGTGGTTAACAGTGTTCGACTGTTTTTACTCTAGTGGTCTATGTTTGATTTTTTTCGCTGCCCTAGGCAACACAAAAATCAGGCACCACCCCAACCTCAAAATCAACAAGAAAAAAGTGACTCTGCCTGCCACAACCAAAGCAGCCTTATGCTGTCACCCGTTCCTGGATACACTCTCCCTCCCAATATACTAACGCCCTATAGTATGTATCCCACCTACCACAGAGGAATAAAACCCCATACATATACCCCTGAGCGCAATTGTATCCGCAAAGACTTGGCCGCATTTAAGGAAGCAGAACCGTCCCAGGATCTCGTTTTCTGTAAATATGGAAAGAAGTTATCCCCTGTTAGCATTGACTCAGCTTATACTGTGGTGCATTTCAAAACTCCCCATTGCCGCTATCCAAATCTATTTCCCCTAATAAAATACAACAAAACCGAGCTCATGACTGCTCAACTTGCACTATGGACAAGCAAAGTGGTGGCAAAATGTGGGTTGCCTGGCTGTGCAGAGCTTAGAGGTAATAGAATAGATAACCAACAAGTGGCCCTTGACGAGGGTAGTGATACTCTGTTTTTTTCCCATTTTTTAAAATTTAAACCTCTATTTAACAACATTTTGTTAACACTGACTGAGACCCAGATACATACAGGTATTACAAAAAAGTTCCATTCACATACTCTAATGAAGTGATCAGTAGTGTTTATTTTTTTTTTACACATGAATAAATCTATATCAGGGCTGCAAATTTCACTGGTAAAAGCAACCATTTTTTACGGTATGCAACAGTTGGGTATTGTTGTAATTTAGCTGTGATGGCCACAGCTAATCGCATAGTACAGATGGGATGTGATTGGCCCATTCTGAACCATGCTATCACTGTGACCACTCCAGGTACAATACAAAAATACCCCCACAAAACTAAAAATCAGCTAGTTTGCTAAGTTAGATTTGGACTGCCTTGTGTTACACTGTAAGTGCGTGTAAGGCCTCATGCTACCATTAGTGACACTACTGACCCTAGCACAAAATGCAAAAACGAGTGAAAAACAGTCAGAAAAGATGAGTAAGGAAAAAAATGTCAGTGACCTCCACCTGTAAAACCATTTCCTGTTTTTAGGAATGGTCTCATCAAATTACAGATTAGACATTCATATAATTGTCAACAAAAGTTAGATTTTATTTCCATCATTTACACTTTCAAAATAACAGAAAACAAAAAATGGCGTCTGCAAAAGTTTGGGCACCCTCAGAATTTATAGCATGCACTGCCCCCTTTGCAAAGCTGAGACCTGCCAGTGTGATGGATTGTTCTCAATCATCGTCTGGGAAGAACCAGGTGATGTCAATCTCAAAGGTTTTAAATGCCCAGACTCATCTGACCTTGCCCCAACAATCAGCACCATGGGTTCTTCTAAGCAGTTGTCTAGAAAACTGAAACTGAAAATAGTTGACGCTCACAAAGCTGGAGAAGGCTATAAGAAGATAGCAAAGCGTTTTCAGATGTCAATATCCTCTGTTCGGAATGTAATTAAGAAATGGCAGTCATCAGAACAGTGGAAGTTAAAGCAAGATCTGGAAGACCAAGAAAAATATCAGACAGAACAGCTCGCAGGATTGTGAGAAAAACAATTCAAAACCCACGTTTGACTGCACGATCCCTCCAGAAAGATCTGGCAGACACTGGAGTTGTGGTACACTATTCCACTATAAAGAGATACTTGTACAAATATGGTCTTCATGGAAGAGTCATCAGAAGAAAACCTCTTCTACGTCCTCACCACACAAAAATCATCGTTTGAACTTTGCAAATGAACATATAGACAAGCCTGATGCATTTTTGGAAACAAGTTCTGTGGACCGATGAGGTTAAAATTGAACTTTTTGGCCGGAATGAGCAAAGGTACGTTTGAGAAGAAGGGGCACAGAATTTAATGAAAAGAACCTCTGTCCAACTGTTAAGCATGGGGGTTGGATCAATCATGCTTTGGGGTTGTGTTGCAGCCAGTGGCACAGGGAACATCTCACGAGTAGAAGGAAAAATGGATTCAATAAAATTTCAGCAAATTTTGGATGGTAACTTGATGCCATCTGTGAAAAAGCTGAAGTTAAAGAGAGGATGGCTTCTACAAATGGATAATGATCCTAAACACACACCTCGAAATCCATGGGGATTACATCAAAGAGGCGTAAACTGAAGGTTTTGCCATGGCCTTCACAATCTCCTGACCTCAACATAATTGAAAATCTATGGATAGACCTTAAAAGAGCAGTGCGTGACAGACAGCCCAGAAATCTCAAAGAACTGGAAGACTTTTGTAAGAAGAATGGGCAAAGATACCTCAAACAAGAATTGAAAGACTCTTGGCTGGCTACAAAAAGCGTTTACAAGCTGTGATACTTGCCAAAGGGGCAGTACAAGATATTAACTCTGCAGGGTGCCCAAACTTTTGCAGACGCCATTTTTTTGTTTTCTGTTATTTTGAAAGTGTAAATGATGGAAATAAAATCTAACTTTTGTTGACATATTATAAGAATGTCTAATCTGTAATTTGATGCCTTTTGGAGATTTTTTCCATCTTTCCTTGGCTTCTTTATGCACATTAATACAAATTTTATTAGCTGGGGTGCCCTCGCACACCCTCAGCGCACCCCCTCCCCACACCCACTGGTCCCCCCAACCCTACTCCATCTTACCACACCTTACTAGCACAATTATCCGCCTCTCTACCCCTCGCCTCCTCCCTCCCCGCGCCTCACCCATCCAACCCCTCCACTTCCCCCAACAGCCAGCCTGTCAAACTCTCCCCCTCAGCCCTCCTCACACCCCTCCCATGTAGACGCAGAACACACCCACACCCAGGTCCAGTTCAACTTTGCTCCACTGTTTTTGGCAGTGCTTTTCGCAGTACCCCCCGTGTTTTTCTACAGGCCCTCTATTGACCCCTCTTTTTCGAGTTTATGCGCCCCGCCCCTCCAATCTCAACCCTTCACAAGTGGACATATCTCTTTTGTTGGTGTGCCTACCCTACCAGAACCCCTTCCCTCCGGCTCCCAATTGCTGAATCCCCCCCAACATCCCCTCCCCCCCACCGCCCCACTCCACCCCCCATAAATGCACCTCCCTTCACACCCACCCCACCCCCAAACCTTTTTTTTTGGAGAGGTCTGCACTGCTTTTTATAGTCCCCTCAAACCCCCCCCTCCCTCTCCCCCCTGAGGTACCTTCCCCCCCCATCCCCCCCTCTCCACCCCCATGGGGCTCTTCCATGACGCCCCTGACAATCTGGGCACCGTGGATCAGTCCACCCCCTCCTAATATCCCCCACAAGACACCAACTCCCCTATTCAATCCCCCCCCCCCATGGGGTAACCCGCACTTCGCCACCACCCCCAGAGACCTATATATCAAGCTGATCCCTTATGAATCCCAACATCCCCCACCCTCCCCAGTATCGCCGTCACTGCATCTACGACGGTATGGTATTTGATTTTGGTCGACTGTAGTCCCACACCCCCCTGGGGATGTCAGGTACACCACCCCAATGGTAAGCCACGCCCCCCCGCTTCCGCCCAGTAACGTCCTCCCCTCACAATAGGCATAACCTCCCCCTGCCATGCCCCAGCATCCCCAACCCCCTTGTACACCTCCTCAACTCCCCCCCCCCCGTCCCCGCACCTCCTCCATCACCTACAACCGCGCGTCAAACGCACCCGCAGCTCCGACCAGGACTAAACCCTCCCCTTCCCAGAAGTGGTCTGAAACATCCAGCACTTTTTGGCAGAATACAGGGTAATCACCCCACTCCGCCCCAAACACCCCAACACTCTAGTCCCTCCTCACGTCTGTTTTTTGTATACTCATTTACTCTCTAAATCGTTGGGGTCCCCCCCCCCTAAAAATCGAACATGAGGCACACAACTCTAAAGCCTCGATTGCACAGGTAAAGCCAGGCCATGGATTCGCTGTTCCCCCGAGTCCCTCCCACCACGTTTTATTTCTCCCACATTTTTTTTTTACACTCCCCCCATCACTCGCCATCACCAACCTAATGGGATCTCAGTACAA